GAGTCTTTTGCCATCGAACGAGTCTCCTATGTTGTATGGTGATGCTATGGAGTATCCATTATTCATGACTGCCTTTGAGTCATTAATCGAATCAAAGGTTGAAGATTCCCATGAGAGATTATATTTTCTGGGTCAATAAACGTCAGGTAAAGCAAAAGAAATGATAAACAGATGTCTACAAAGGAAAATGGAAGGATCCTATGAAGAAGCTAAGAGACTTTTAAAGAGACAATTCGGTGATCCATTCAAGATAGCTAATGCCCACATCACGAAATTGTCTCCTTGGCCACCAATCAGACCAAATGGTGGTTTAGGCCTCCAAGATTTCTCTATTGCCCTGGATCAAGCTAAGTCTGCTATGAAAGGTATGTCTCATATGGATGATTTAAACACTGCTCATGTACTGCGTCAACTGTGGGAAAAGTTACCCAATACCTGCGAACCAAATGGACTGATAGGAACAATAGGACAAAAAGTGCAAAGGGAAGAATAGCTGACTTCGAAGAGTTCTCTCAATTTGTGCGTGAACAAGCTGATCTTGCCACAGGTCATGTGTTAGCAAGCCAAATCATGATGAAAAAGATAGAGGCACTCGTCTTAAGTTTACAAGAAAGCCGCTAAAAAGGGGAAAAGGGACAAACCTTGCTACTGGTGTAAATCAAGAAGATAGCAATCGACAGACTGTTGTATGCTCTTTATGCAAGAAGCCTCATAACTTAAACGAGTGTGAACAGTTTTTGAAGGAATCTCTGAGTGACCGTCGAGACTTTGTAGTAGAGAAGAAACTGGGCTTCGGCTGCTTTAGCGACCAGCACATTGCAAAGCATTGCAAGGAAAGGCAAACGTGCAAGACGTGCAACAAGTAGCATCCAACGTTACTGCACAACCCTGATGGAATTAAGAAATCGAACGACAAAGGTGACAAGAACCAACCTCGAGATAGACCTCGAGTTAGTAGCAATCACACTGCCATCTGCAACATAACTGAAGCTGGAGATGTGCCAATTAACATGGGTATATTGCTAGTCTGGTTGTTTCATAACAGTAATCCAGCGAAGAAAATACGAGTTTATGCTTTATTGGACAATGCCAGCGGTGGAACGTTTGTGAATGAAAGCGCAGTAAAGACTCTTGGCGCTGAAGGAAGTAGCACTGACCTCATTCTTACTACAATCCATGGAACACACAGCGTAACGTTGAAGGCCATTGAAGGATTAGTCGTAGCTAATGTCAAGGACGAGAGTGCAAGGTTAGAGTTGCCCAGAACTTTCACGCGAAACATCATTCCAGCGGACCGCAGTGAAATACCACGACCTGATGTAATCAGTAGGATGTCTCATTTGAAGGATGTTAGTGCCGAACTTTCCCCCTACATGGAAGATGTTGAAGTGGGTCTTCTTATCGGATTGAACTGTTCAAGTGCCCTACAACCAAGAGAAATTGTTTACGGTGGAGAGTTAGATCCATATGCTGCACGGTCGCCGCTCGGATGGTACATAAACGGTCCTCTCTATACTCCCTATCAGAGTAGCATCTTAACGTTACAGTAGAATTCATCTTAATCAGCAAGACACCTCATCCCCGCGAGGATATGTAGTCTCTCAAAGGATGGTTAAGGAACAGATAACACCGCAGGCAGTTGAACGAATGTTTGAACTTGACTTCTCCGAAAAGGAAGAAGACATCAAGTTCTACGAGACTGTGGAAACTGGTATCGTTCATCTCGAGGACTTGCACTATGAAATGCCCCTCCCTTTCAAACATAAGAACACTCAGCTCCCAAACAACTATGCTCAAGCTGAGAAGCGCCTGAACAGCCTCAAGAAACGTCTAATGTCTGATGACAAGTATTACACGGATTACTGCAGCTTTATGCCTGACATTATTTCGAAAGGGTACGCTCGGAGGGTGGATGACGATCTTAAAGATCAGTTGAGGAGAACCTGGTAACTGCCACATCACGGAATTTACTCCCCCTGAAAAACCCAACGAAAATACGCGTGGTGTTTGATTGCTCGGCCTCATTCGAAGGACACTCCTTGAATGACAAATTGCTCCAGGGACCAGATCTCAGCAGTAACTTAGTCGGTGTTCTTACCAGGTTCCGGCAAGAAAAGTATGCTTTTATGGCAGACATTGAAAAAATGTTCTTTCAAGTAAGAGTAAGGAAGGAAGATAAAAGTTTCTCGGGTTTCTATGGTGGCCAAACGGAGATTTACAGAAGGAGGCTGAAGAGTATTGCATGACAGTACATTTGTTCGGTGCAGTATCATCCCCTGCATGCGCTAATTATGCACTTAAACGCACTGCTGACGACTATGAAGATGAATATGGGTCAGAAGCAGCCAACACCCTTAGAAGGAACTTTTATGTGGACGACGTTCTCAAATCGGCATGCACAGAAGATGAGACTATTAAGCTAGCAAAGGACACCAAAGCAGTTTGCCAAAATGGTGCATTTAACTTGACCAAGTTTGTGGGGAACACAGAGCGTATCATCAGCACAATCCCTCAAGAACACAGAGCAGAACAGGTGAAGAACCTCACACTTGGCCAGGACAAGTTACCCATAGAAAGAGCATTAGGAGTTATTTAGTGTATTGAGTCAGACACGTTCAACTTCAGGATTGAACTTAACGATAAACCTTGCACGCAGAGAGGCATCCTATCAACCATCAGCTCGATTTATGATCCCTTGGGTTTCATCGCTCCTGTAGTACTGGTCAGAAAGAAAATTATGCAGGACATCTGTCACACTAATAGCTGGGATCAGCCAGTCGACGATGCCACCCGCAGCAGATGGGAAAGATGGCGAAATGAGCTGTACCTACTTGAAAGTTTGAAAATACCAAGAAGCTTTAAGCCCTCAGAGTTTGGAAAGATTGTGTCCACGCAACTCCACTGTATGTCTGACACTTCAACGTGTGGTTATGGTCAATGCTCGTAGTTAAGGCTCGAAGACGAACACGGCAAAGTACATGTCTCTTTTGTTATGGGAAAGGCGCGAGTGACACCAAAAAAGACCGTCGGCATTCCAAGGTTAGAGTTAGCTGCAGCCTAAGTCCCTGTCAAGATTGGTGACGTTCTAAAGGATGAGCTAGATCATGAGAACATTGAGGATCACTATTAAACGGACAGTAAAGTCGTCCTAGGCTTTATAAGTAACAAGTCCAGTCGGTTTCATGTCTATGTTGCCAACCGGGTTCAACTCATTCATGATCACACCACCCCCTCACAGTGGCATTACGTCGAAACCACTTCAAATACTGCAGACGAAGGTTCAAGGGGTATGTCACCTAAAGACTTTGTTGAGAAATCACAATGGATTCAAGGCCCTAACTTCCTTAAAAAACCTGCAAGCAGTTGGCTGAAAGAAAAGTCATACAAAGACACTGTGGACCCAGATTCCCCTGAAGTGAAGAGCACTAAGGTTAACACATGTGTAGTGAAAGAGAGTGACGTCATAGTTGAGAGACTTCTCAGGTTCTCAAGCTGGCACAAAGCGTAGGTAGCTGTCGCACTATGCCTAAAGTACAAGAGTAAGCTCAGAGAAAAGGTCATGTCTAAAGGGAAGGAGTCCAGTGCTGGATCACCAGAACAAAGTGTGTCAGTAACATCCCTGCAAGTGGAGAACTTAACGTTGCCAACTTACAGGAAGCAGAAGTGGAGATCATAAAACAAGTACAAAGACAAGCATTTCCATTGGAAATAAGAAGTCCTCCAAATCGTTCAAGCGAACGCTAAGTACGGTAGCTGGGAAGGAGAAAAGGAGAAGAAGGCTGTGCTGAAGAAAACCAGTGCGCTTCGCACTTTAGACCCCTTCCTAGACAGTGGCGGTGTCATGAGAGTTGGCGGGCGAATAAGGAAGGCGACACTATCGGAGTCACTCAAAAACCCC